CCAGAGATGGGGGACATACTACATTCCCTGGTGGTCCAGTGGCACAGCATAGGTCCCTGGTGGTCCAGTGGCACAGCATAGGGGCCCAGGAGTGTCCACCTTTCATCCACCTCTAGCAGCAGCAGGTCCTAAGTTCTCTAGCAGCAGCAGGTCCTAAGTTCTAAGGTAGTGTGTGGCAACCCGCGGCAACGCTCTCACAAGTCGCGAGAATAGTGAACCTGATGCTGCTGTATCTGAAATGAGTGTGGAGACTCCTGTAAGCGGTCCGGTCCTTGTGAACGTGCGCCCCAGGCACCCCCCTAGTGATTGGCACCCGGGGGTACACCACTGCTCACAACCCAGCTATAGCGTAAATTTACAGACGACATCTGTAAGTTTTAATACAGTTCCTCCTTTTAATTTTTATACCATTTTATACCATACCATCTATATACCCAGCTCACACATGGTTTTCATTAAACTGCAAATTGTAGTAATTAGGCTCTGAATGACAACATTTAATCAAATGTAGTCACATCTCTCTGTATGTGACTTGCACAGCCTTCCTAAACACTTTCTGAAAAGAAATATAGATAATTTAGGTTCATATATTGCACAGTCTGTTGAATCTAGAATTTCTTTGATCCTGCTCAGTTAATAGCCTTCCAGACCCTGCAGGAGTCTCCTGTGTGTGCTTAAAGTAAAAATTACAGAGCAGGAGATAAAAACTTCTAAAGTAACCACACATCTGATTTAAAATTAAACCATTTTTTCATACAGGATGTGTCAGTCACAGCCAGGGGAGGTGTAGATAAACAGAAGCAAAAGTGATTTCATTCCTAAATGGCAGTGAATGAGCAGTGAAGAGTGTCAGTTAAATGCATGGTCTATAAATAACACTTTTTTAAAAAGTTAAAGTTGTTTTGACGCCTATAATATCAGCAAACAATGAACAGTCAAATTACTTTATGTTGAGATGTTAAAGGGACTCTCCAGTGCCAGGAAAACATATCCGTTTTCCTGGCACTGCAGGACGCTGCAGTGCCCCTCTCCCTCCTACCCCATCCCATGTTGCTGAAGGGGTCAGTGACCGGAATCCAGCGCCAATGTCCCTCAGCGCTGGGTCCGGATCCGCCCACGCTTCTCCCCCGCCAACGTCAGCTGGCGGGGGAAACCTAATGCGCATGTGCGGCAATGGCCGCGCGTGCATTAGACCTCCCCATAGGAAAGCATTACTCAATGCTTTCCTATGAGGATTCTGGCGACGCTGGAGGTCCTCATGCATAGTTTAAAACACTTTTCATGTTCTAAGAACACGAAAGTCCCTCTAGTGGCTGTCTGATAGATAAACACTACTAGAATTACATTTGCAGGGTTAAGGGTGGTGGGAGTTGGCACCCAGACCACTCCAATGGACAGAAGTGGTGTGGGTGCCTGGAGTGTCCCTTTCAGCATGAATAATACAAGATTAAAATGTGCATTTTTGAGAACTCAAAGTGGATTTGAAGTTAATTTTAAATTGTTGTTTGCATTTCTGATTTTATAGTGCTCCTGTCCCCAGTTATATGCAGGTGTGTGCAGGGCCGGCCTTAGGTGTTCAGGCGCCCTGTGCGAAACAATCTTGTGGCGCCCCCCCCTCACCTGTCTCTGTTTGGACCCCTTCAAACTATTTTAGGAGCATTCACAATCTGTTGCCTCCACCCCCTTCTACAAAACCACTGCACCTCTTAACCAAAATCCCTGGCCAGATCTTCACCAAGCCCCTGGCCACCACTTCATCAAACTCCTGGCCACCCCTTCCCCTTCATCAATGCCCTGGCCATCCCTTCGTCAAACTCCTAGCCACCCCTTACCCTTCATCAATCCCCTCCCACCCCTTTATCAATTCCTGCCACCCCTTCATCAGTCCCCTGCCCCTCTCATCAATTCCCTCCCACCCTTTACTCAGCCCTCTGCCCCTATTCATCAGCCACCTGACCCCCTAATCAATCCCCTCCCACCCCTTTAACAGCCCTCTGCCCCATTCATCAGTCCCCTGACCCCCTCACCAATCCCCTCCCCCTTTTATCAGCCCCCTGACCCCTTCATCAGTACCCTCCCACCCCTATCACCCACCTGCCCCCCTTTAATCAGTCCCATGCCCCCCTTTTCAACCCCCTGCTCCCCTTCATCAGCCCCCTTAATACATCCCATGCCAAATAATCCAACCCCTGGCCACCCCTTCATCAGTCCCCTGCCCCCTCATCAATTCCCTCCCACCTATTTATCAGCCATCTGCCCCCATTTCATCAGCCCCCTGATCTCCTCATCAATCCCCTCCCACTCCTTTATCAACCACCTGCCCCCTTTAATCAGCCCCATGCCCCCCTTTTCAGTTTCCTGCCACCCTTTATCAGCCCCCTTAATAAATCCCCTGCCAATTAATGCAATCCATGCCACCCCTTCATCAACCCTTTGCACCCCTTAATCAGACCCTGCCTCCCTTAATCAAACCCCTGCCCCCCTTAATCATACCCTGTCATCCATGCCCAGTCCCCTGCCCCCCTTAATTAGACCCAGTGTCACCCATAGCCAGTCCCAGTCCCCTGCCCCCCTTAATTAGACCCAGTGTCACCCATAGCCAGTCCCAGTCCCCTGCCCCCCTTAATTAGACCCAGTGTCACCCATAGCCAGTCCCCTGCCCCCCTTAATTAGACCCAGTGTCACCCATATCCAGTCCCCTGCCCCCTTAATTAGACCCAGTGCCACCCTTATCTAGTCCCCTGCCCCCCTTAATTAGACCCAGTGTCACCCTTATCTAGTCCCCTGCCCCCCTTAATTAGACCCAGTGCCACTCTTATCTAGTCCCCTGCCCCCCTTAATTAGACCCTGCCCCATTTAATGAAAGATGTTTGGCTTAAAAATAAATAAGGTACTTACTTTGAAGGCTGCTGCTCCCTCCCTGTCTGCAGAGCACCGGCCGCCGCCCTCACACATGGAGCGGATCCCTCTGCGGCTCTCTGTGAAGGTGCAGCACTTGGACGCTGCGCCTGCGCCCCAAGCTCCTCCTCCACGCTACGGAAACTGACCGCGGCTCAGCTCTCACACAATCTTGGGCCGGCCAGTGACAGAGCGACTGCGAGCTGTGTCGGCCGCCCGGCGCCCCTGTTGCCATGGCGCCCTGTGCGGCCGCACAGCTCGCACACCCCAAAGGCCGGCCCTGGGTGTGTGTGTCTCTCCCTCCTTTTTTTGACCTTTTCTCCATCCCCTGAAATGTCTCACTTTGCCACCTCCTACGATGTCATTGAGGAGGCATTGCCTCCTCCAGCAATGGTCCAATCCAGGCTTCCCCAAACTCCGGCCCTTCAGATGTTCCTGAACTACAACTCCCATGATTCTCAGCCTAGCCATTTCATTCATAGAATCATGGGAGTTGTAGTTCAGCAACATCTGGAGGGCCTGAGTTTGGGGAAGCCTGGTCCAATCCAATGAACTTCCATATCACGTGACTGAGTTTTCCAGGTCATGGGTCAGTGTGACAACCACTAGCAGTGGGTTTAACCCAGAAATGTAAACATTGCAGTTTCTATGACCACTTAATTGAGATGAAAAGTGAAATTACTTTTAATTCCTGACAATTAAAACTTTCATGAATAACCCTGGCAGCATTAAAAATTGTTGTCAATTCATCTATTTTGGGTGGAAAATGTGCTTCTCAGGCGTTATCAGTGGTTAAGAGGCATTGATATAGGCTCTGTGCAACTGAAAAAGATAGCATTTAGAATCAACACACACATTTGTATTTAACCCCTTAACGCCGTTAAGGCGTTCTATGCCGTCACGCATTAAATGGGCTTTAAAGCCGTTGCGAAGGCATAGAACGCCGTAACAGCTTGCAGCCCAGGCAGCCCTCCCCCGGCAAATGAGGCCCCCGGGGGCCATGTGATCGCTCTCAAAGAGCGATCACATGGCCCCCTATAGCTGGCTGTGGATCTGTTTGAGCTCTCAGACAGTCCCCCTGCTGGTGGGAAGAATAATAAAAATATTATTAGACAAGTTTAAAATAAAATAAATGTATTTATATATATATATATATATATATATAATATAATATATATACACACTTAGAATGACGTTACACATATATATAAGATATATATATTGTATATATAATGCATCTATATATATATTTTATATTTATATATACACGTATAATTACAATAGTAAATAAATAATAAAATAAATAAAATATTTTGTAAAAAATTTAAATAAATTATATATACATATGTAATCTCATTCTAACTGTATTTTGTTATTAATACATATATATTGGTAACAAAATACACTTAGAATGACATTCTATATATATATATATATGTATATATATATATATAAAATACAAACAACTGCAAATATTTATATATATATAGATAAATATATATAATTACATAAATAACTACATAAGTATACACGTAGAATTTAAATACATGTATATGCATATATATAAAAATTCTATGTGTATGCTTAAGTAATATTTTAACATAATTATGTGATTTAATTAATTAAAATTTGATTGACGTGCCTGACAACCCAGGCAGCAAGTGCAGAGAATTAAATTCGCACGTGCTATAGTTAACCCTGTAACTTTTCAAGACACCATAAAACCTGTACATGGGGGGTACTGTTTTACTCGGGAGACTTTGCTGAACACAAATATTAGTGTTTCAAAATGATAAATTGTATTACAACGATGCTATATTTAGTAAAAGTGACGTTTTTTGCATTTTTCACACACGAACGGCACTTTTACTGACGATATTATTGTTGTAATATGTTTTACTGTTTTGAAACACTTATGTTTGTGTTCAGTGAAGTCTCCCAAGTATAACAGTACCCCCTATGTACAGGTTTTATGGTGTTTTGGAAAGTTAGAGAGTCAAATATAAGGCTTGCATTTCATTTTTTTTCACATTGAAATTTGACAGATTGGTTACGTTGCATTTGAGACCGTATGGTAGCCCAGGAATGAGAATTACCCCCATGATGGCATACCATTTGAAAAAGTAGACAACCCAAGGTATTGCAAATGGGGTATGTCCAGTCATTTTTAGTAGCCACTTAGTCACAAAACTGTCCAAATATGAGTTTTTTTGCTTTTTTTACACAAAAACAAATATGAACGATAACTTTGGCCAGTGTTTGTGACTAAGTGGCTACTATAAAACACTGGACAAACCCCACTTGCAATACCTTGGGTTGTCTACTTTTGCAAATGGTATGCCATCATGGGGGTAAATCTCATTCATGGGCTACCACACGGTCTCAAAGGCAACATAACCAACCTGGCGAATTTCAATTTGAAAAAACTGAAAAATGGAATGTGCTATATTTGACCCTTTAACTTTCCAAAACACTGTAAAAACTGTTAATGGGGGGTACTGTTGTACTTGTGAGACTTTGCTGAATCCAAATATGTGTTTTTTTGCAGTTAAAGCTAATGGTATTATGACATTTACAGCTAAAATGTCTACAAATTTGTTTTTAAAAATCTTAATTTCTCACAGTTTTTTAAATTTTATTCATAATAAATTATGTTTCAAATATGAATAGTTCATGAGAAATTAAAGCCCAGTTTCTCCTGAACAAAATTATATATAATAAGTGTGGGTGCACGTAATATGAAAGAGGTGAATTACGGTTGAACAGACATATAGTGCAAATACCAGTTTTTGTTTACATTTTGTTTTGATCAGAACATGTACTATTGACTCCGTCCTGAAAGAGTTAATGAAATTAGATGTTTTGTTTTAATGCATTTTCTTTAAAACAGGACCCTGCATTTGTGGAGAAGAGGGATCGCTGTGCATATTTAAAGGAGAAACTCGCACACATAAAGAAACAGATCCAGACCTATGACCAGCGAGATGGATCGGTGTACTTTTGATTGAAATTTATTCAGATATATTTATATAGAAAAGGAGCACTTTAGTTCTTCAGCAGCAAATGCAGCAATATGGTTAAGGGATAAGGTTAGAGAAACATGACATGAAATCCTAACCATTTTAACCCAACAATGTATTTTTAACCTTTTTCTACGTTGTCAACATTTTTATTGCATTTTTAGAAATACATGTAAATACATGTAAATAGAGAAAAATAGTTGTTTCATAACTCAACTCAGTTCTTGCTTAAGTCCCTACACCATCTTTTTAAATACAGTATTTTCACTCTTAGAACCACTTTTGTCGTTAATTGAAGAGTGTCAGTTAAATGATTAGCCTGAGAATCCTGTCTAAAGTTTATCGCTCTACTCTGCATTTCGAGTATTATCTATGGATGAATGTAGACAGAATTTCCATTTATTATTTTCTATACTGCACATCCCATAGTTAAATATGTGCATCACTTCTTATCTATCCTGTAATTGGTGAATACACTTTATTGAAATAAATTATAGATGAAAATATTGTTCTGCTTTATTTTCAAGCTTTTTATAGTATACTTGTTACTTAAACAAAAAGTTTCATTATAGTCGGAAAAAATTATAAATGGCATTAAATACTGTGCAAGAGAATACTGAAAATGGATAACAGCTCAAATAGTTTTCCCTTCAGTGGGTTTCCACTCCAATCTCAAGCTGGTTTTAGCTTAGCTAGTGCTATTACAGAGATAGCCTAAACCATTTGCACATCAGACAGATCCCACCTAAAAGGGTGAAACAAATTCCCAAAAAAATGATGCCTAACAATGGGAGGGCACAAGGGCACATCTGGCATCATAAGAACTATAGCAAGCTGTAGTGGTTATGGTGCTTGGAGAAAAGTGTAATTCCTGTCGATACCTCTGTTGTGCATGGCTGTATTGAGTCAGTGATCCTCATTCAGTGCTAAACTGCTCTAAAATGGTTTAACAATTAAAGGAAGAACAGTGCCAGGGAACTGCGGGCACAATACCATCAAAACCTTCTGCAATATCACTAATAAAAATATTAAAGAGAATGGGTCCAAGTACAGATCCCTGAGGTACCCCACTGGTGACAAGTCCAAGCTTCGAATATATTCCATTAACTAAACCCTCTGTTGCCTGTCACTCAGCCACTGCCTTACCCATTCAACAATATTGGAATCCAAACGTAAAGATTGCAGTTTATTGATAAGCCTAAGAATTGTAGAATATCAATAGGTGTGAATTCAATATATATTTGAGTGTAGCGAAAAACGGTGTGTAAATGGAGGGATGAATTATGTCTACTGCAAGAATACTTATGTAGTCTCAAAGTACAATTGTATGAGTCAAAGTATGTACACAAAATTAGAATATTGTGAAAAAGTTCATTTATTTCAGTAATGCAACGTAAAAGGGGAAACTAATATATGAGATAGACGCAATACATGCAAAGCAAGATAGTTCAAGCAGTGATTTGTCAAAAGAGTGATGATTATGGCTTACAGCTCATTAAAACCCCAAATCCACAATCTCAGTAAATTAGAATATTACATGCAATCAATAAAACAAGGAGAGTGCATAGAACAATATCGGACCTCTGAAAAGTATAAGTATGCATATGGACTCGGTACTTGGTTTGGGCCCCTTTTGCAGCAATTACTGCCTCAATGCGGCGTGGCATGGAAGCTATCAGCCAGTGGTACTGTTGAGGTGTTACAGAAGACCAGGATGCTTCAATAGCGGCCTTCAGCTTTTCTGCATTGTTTGGTCTCATGTCTCTCATCTTTCTCTTGGCAATGCCCTATAGATTCTCTATGGGGTTCAGGAACAGTAATCCCACGGTCATTGAACCAGGCTTTGGTGCTTTTGGCAGTGTGGGTAGGTGCCAAGTCCTGTTGGAAAATGAAGTCAGCATCTCCATAAAGCTTGTCTGCGGAAGGAAGTATGAGGTGCTCCAAAATCTCCTGGTAGACGGCTGCGTTGACCCTGGACTTAATGTAGCACAGTGGACCAACACCAGCAGATTTGGTTCCCAAAATCAACACAGACTGTGGAAACTTCACACTGGACTTCAAGCATCTTGCAGTGTGTGCCTTTCCATTCTTCCTCCAGACTCTGGGTCCTTGGTTTCCAAATGAGATGCAAAAGTTGCTCTCACCAGAAAAGAGGACTTTGGACCACTGAGCAACAGACCTGGTCTGTTTTTCTTTAGCCAAGGTAAGACTTTTCTGACGTTGTTTGTTGTTCAGGAGCGGCTTGACAAGAGGAATATGACATCTGAAGCCCATGTCCAGGATCCGTCTGTGTGTGGTGGCTCTTGCTGCACTGACTCCAGCCTCAGTCCACTCCTTGTGAAAGTCCCCAACACTTTTGAATGGCCTTTTCCTGACAATCCTCTCCATGTTGCGGTCATCCCTGCTGCTTGTGCACCCTTTTCTTCCACACTTTTCCCTTCTACATAACTTTCTATTAATGTGCTTTTATACAACACTTTGGGAACATCCAACTTCCTTCGCATTTACCTTTTGAGGCTTTCCCTCCTTATGGAGGGTGTCAATGATGGTTTTCTGCACAACTGTCAGGTCAGCAGTCTTCCCCATGATTGTGATTCCTACTGAACCAGACTGAGAGACCATTTAAAGGCTGAGAAACTCTTTGCAGGTGTTATGGCTTACTTAGCTGATTAGAGTGGAACACTGTGAGCCTAGAATATTGCACCTTTTCACAATATTCTAATTTACTGAGATTGTAGATTTCGGGTTTTCATGAGCCATAATCATCGCACTTATGACAAATCACGGCTTGAACTATCTTGCTTGGCATGTAATGCGTCTATCTCATATATGAGTTTCCCCTTTTACGTTGCATTACTGAAACAAATTAACTTTTGCACGATATTCTAATTTTCTATCACTGTATTTGTGTAATGCTGATATGTGGGAAACCCAGAGAATATTTTGTGTAGTGCCAGAGAGTATAAAATGCAGGAAGGTAATATGCATGTAGTGTTTGTGTATGAAAACAGGCAGTTTATTAGAATGTAAAACATATCTGTGAATTCAAGGATTTATTTAAAGGAAATTATGGCATGTGAATGCAGGGGTATATTAGTATGCAAATTAGTTGTGTGAATGCAGGAGTGTATTTGTATGAAGTGTCAGTATGCCTAGGAGTGAGTGTACTTGTGTGTAGTGTTTGTATCTATGTACATAAAAGGGATCTAAAATGTATTTGTGTGGAAGAAGCGGTGTGTGCAAATTAAGTGAATTGTTGGTGTGTGAATGTGTGTATTAATGTTCAGAATGTTCTTATATTTATTTGAGCAGTCAGTATCAGTGTGTGACTGTAGTACTCTATTTGTGAGGAGTGTCAGTATGTGTGTGAATGCAAAACTGTATGTCTGTAGATTATCAATCTGTAAACATAAATAAGCAGTGTGTCACCATGTGCATGACTTCAGTATGTGTTTGCATGCAATATTTTTCTTTTGAATAGGATTTTGTTTTCATAATGTGTCTCTATCTTCCCTAATGTGTAATCTGTGTCTCCTCTCTTTTTCTGTCACCTTACACTCATCCCAATGGTACACCCACAGACCCATATTTCTCTCCCACCTCACCCTATTTACATCCGTAGCCTCACATTTCTCTCTCCCACCTCACCCTATTTACAGCCACATTTCTCTTTTCTCTCCCACCTCACCCTATTTACACCCACATATCCACATTTCTCTCCCCCACCTCACCCTATTTACACCCACAGACCCACATTTATCTCTCCCACCTCACCCTATTTACATCCAGACTCACATTTATCTCTCCAACCTCACCCTATTTACAGCCACAGACCCACATTTCTCTCTCCCACTCACTCTATTTACACCCACAGACCCACAAATCCATGTCCCATTTCACCCCAACCCACCTTTTGTGTCTGTATCCTCCTGGCTGCATTCAATCAGCTCTCTCTCTGTTGCCCTGGTGCTGCTCCTCTTGTAGCTGAGTTAAGGCAGCTCTGCATGTGTGGGATGAGAGCAGACGATGTGATGTCACATCCTTTCCCCTCCTCTCATTCCACACAGAGTGCCTGCACTGCCCAGCGCACTGAGAGTGAAGAGCCATGAGAGGGGTAATACGCATGCTGCAAGTTCTCTCACTGCGGAGGGAGTTGGGAGGTGATTTTGCGATAGTTGCAGACCCCCCACAGGCAGGGGCCCACAACTATCACTGGAATAAAGCACAAGAACTAATGCTGGCCCAGATGGAAGATCCAAGGCCCTGTCCATGCATCCGGGCCGCTGACTGCCACGGGCCCTCGGTCAGTGACTGATGTGCCCGAG